CGGCGCGGGCCCCGGGGTGCGCGCTCTGCTCTGAACCGACTCTGTGCTTGGTCTGTGCTTTTCTCTCCCTGTTCCTCAGCCCGCGCCTTGGCTTCGCTCATAGTATGGCGACACGTACGGTGCGGTCAGCAGCGACAAGCCCTCGGTCCGCCCGGCGCCGTAACGTACCCCATGGCGTGCGAACCGGGACGCGGAGCTGGCTGCCCCTGCGCTCCTCCGGCCCTGCTCGCTGTAGTTAGCTTGGGCGAGCGGCCTTAACTTTGCAAAGAACTGCCGAGCCTTGAACCCTCTCCTCACACGAGGAAATCTTTTCCCCATTTTGCAAATGAGGATCTGAAGCAAACTGCCGTTAAAGGACTTGCCTGTAGTCGTGCAGGAAGTCCGGGGGAGAGCTGAGTTTGCTTACTTTGCTACAGAATTGCGGTTCTCTAAGAGTGCAAATCAACTCTTTAAAGCAGAGAGGTGTGTGTGTGAAATGAATGTTTGGCCTCTGTAGGTTGCTCTTTCTGGTTTGGGGTGGGTGCTGCAAAAACATTGACTTGTTAGGGATTGAGAGGTTTTTTGATTGTAGGGAAGAAGCATGTCACTTAGAAATGCGTTGTTATACTCCCTTGTGTGAAGACCATGATTTTAGTCTTTCCACATCTTCCAGTGAATGTCTGAACACATACAGGTGAAAGTGCCCACAGGCTGTGTCTCTTAGGCTGAGGTTTCCAACTGAAGTAAGCTAGGCAAGTGGCTTTCTTGAGAAAGGTACATATATTTTGATGGAGAGAAAACACTGGTTAGTTTGGAGGCTGCTTAAATGCTGTATGTACCATCATATCGAAGCTTGCTGAATGTATAAATGTCATATGGCTCATTTGTCTGGTAGGTGCCTGTCCTGAGGAGTGGTGCCAGAGTGGTAGCTGTTTAACTGAAGTAACCTACTACTCCAGCAGCAGGCTGGATAAAAGCAAAGCGTGTGCTGGTCTTCATCTGGGCTCTTTCTCTTCCCTCCTTCCAGGAGGGGTAAAACCAGAGCCAGCTATCAGACGATAAAGATAGTTTTGCAGGGCTGAGCTGATAGCGTCATCACTGTGATAGTTCACAGATGCAAGAGAAGTCGGTGTGTAGGAAGACAGAACACAAACCTGACTGTGGTATATTTAGGAGAAGAAGGTTGGGAAAGGAAAATGTCAAGGTTTTTGGTCTTGTGAGTCCAGAAACTTGTCTGTTCTGTTCTTCCAAGTGAGTCAGCTGGTCTCATGCAGTGACTTTCAATTTTTGAACTGCAGCCCCCTCACACTTTGCACTAGAGCTATAGAGCTGGTTAGAAATGTCATGCAGCTGAATGATGTACACAGGTTTGCTTTTCTTAGTCACCTTTGCAGCACCTATGGAACAGTCCATGGACTGCCTTATTGCTGCCACTGGTGTTAGAGAAGACGTTTCCTCTCCCAGCGAGCCCTGCCAGAGTCACATTTGTGTGGTGGGTTTCCTGTTCTCCATGCAGAAAGGCACGGGTGTTTCTTGACTTCTGGATCTGCGGAGAGCTGGGTTTGCAAATGTTCATTTGTGTTGCTTTTTGGAATTGTTGTATTAGGGAAAACTGTGAAGCTGAAAGTCAGGAAAGCGAGTTCAGCTGTTCAGCAGTGATCTCTTCCCAAACATAAATTTAATTGCAGTTCAGAGAATAAATTGCTTACCAGAAGCATAGAAGCAACAAGACTGTTGGATGTAGTGAGCTGGAGAGGTTTTCTTCTTGTTAACTAATTTTGCCTGTGGTGCATGTGGAGATAGAGGGGTTTCCAACATCATGCAGTACTGTGAATATTCAGTGCCACTTCAGATAAGCCTGGCAGTTCAGACATGCTTGGGCCCACTCTTCCATTTCCTCAATGTTTCATTCATAGGTAGATAGCGGGTGTTAATCCAAATCAAATCTGCCACACTCCTTTAGTGGTTATTAAAACCTGTGTTGGAGGCAGCTTTGTAATGCAGGTGTTAAACAACTTATGTGGAATAATCAAAATGCAATGACGTGTTTAGACATCGCAGAATGTGTGATGGATGCAGCCCTCTCATGGGAAACATCTGGAGTTCAACTAATGCCCAGTATTTCAGTGTTAAATAGTGGGGTGTTAAATTTGTGTCCTTTTGGATCTAGAGTGAAGAGGGAACCGGCTGGGGCTAGGTGAGGTCAGAATCCAGTTTAGACTTTCTGCTAAGAAGTTAAAGTAGAATCTGCTGTTGCAGCAGTGCAGCAAACTGGGTCCTTTAATCTGGTCTTTCCAAAGCTGACAGAGCTTTGGAAGCAGCTTGTTGAGGCTGAAAGCAGCCATAATTCAATGGGAGGTTTTGTTCTCAACAACCCTTTCCTCCTGACAAATGCATGCGATGTGGCGCAAATTGGAGAAAACCAGTGCTTACTCCTCTGGAGACAAGGCTGTTGTCAAGAGGCATGAGCTGCATGTACATCTTGCAGAGAAAATGGATGTCCTCTGTCTGCCATTCTTTCGGTTGGATAGTTAAGGTCCTTTGTACTTCTGTGAATGTCAAAATGATAGCTTTAAACATGGATGCAGACTTTTACATGAGCCACACGGTGCCAATGTGAGCCAGCACAGAGGTTGGCCGTTAATGGCCGTGTAACAGTTTGTGTAACTGAAGTACTCTGTAGAAGTCCGTTGATGCCCAGTGTGCTGCCATTGTTGCAAAGTGGGTTTGTTGTTTTATGCTTATCTGTTAATTTCTTGTTTCTAAACCCTTTTATCTTGTCACTAGGCTGTTCTTTGGAGTTTATTGCACTCGATTAGGGATCGGTTCTCAGAATCGAGGAGTTAGAAGTGAGATTTGAGATAAGTGAGGCCCATTCGGTGCTGCTTTGGACACCTCCGAAGGGGAAATGGAGTTATCAGGATTGAAAAAGAAGAGTTTGCTAGGACTCAAAGAAAATAATAAAAAATCCAACACTAGGTAATCATTCTGTCCGAATTTTCTAGGCTTAACAAAACTGGGGATATTATAGGGTATTAGGGTTCTCCCAGTGAGGGTGAGGAATTGGAAATGTACCTCTTTCTGCGTGAATTTCTGTATGTGAGAATTTCTGTATGCTATAGCTGTCTTCCTCAAAGCTGCTATGTAATGTAAAATATTTTCTTTTTTCTAAAAAGTCCAAACTTGGCCTAATGCTTTAATTCTGCAGTTATGGTATATTTGAAGTTCAATGTTTTGTGTTGGCTGTTCTGTTCTTTGTTTGGGTGTGGGTTTTTTGTTGTTTGGGTTTTTCTATATTAAACAATGTCTTCTGCAATTTGTTCTTGAAGGGCTCCCTCACCAACCAAGCGCAAGGATAGGTCTGAAGAGAAATCAAAGGACCGGTCCAAGGATAAAGCAGCCACTAAGGAATCGGGTGAGAAGGATCGTGGTCGAGACAAGACACGCAAAAGACGCAGTGCTTCCAGTGGGAGCAGCAGTACCAGGTAGTTACTTCTACAAGTAGTAACAAATTACAGTGTTTTCAAAAATGACCAGCTTGATTTCTGGTACGTTTCCTTCCCTGTGTCATGGATTTGTTGAAAGCTTGCATTGTGTTAGTCACAGTGCAGTTTTGTCTAACTTAAGGGTTTGTTTTTTTTTTAGGTATGAATTTCCTTTGGCTGTCTAGTCAGCTGTGGAGCATCAGTTTTCATTGTTCTAACTCACAGTTGCTCTCTCCGTAATTAGAAGTTTTTCAGCCATGCTTTTTCTGGGTACTCCAACCATTTTTATTCCCCCCCTCCACCCCCCACAGATCCCGTTCCAGCTCAACTTCCAGTTCAGGGTCCAGTTCCAGCACTGGTTCTAGCAGTGGCTCTAGCTCCTCTTCTGCCTCGAGCCGCTCTGGGAGCTCCAGCACCTCACGCAGTTCCAGTTCCAGCAGCTCCTCTGGATCTCCAAGTCCTTCTCGACGGAGACATGACAACAGGAGACGCTCCCGCTCCAAGTGAGTTTTGTTTGCCTTCTAGGAATTACCAGATGGCAGATCATTTTCCATGTAGAATACAAGATTGTGATCAGAATAGATTTTTTTCTGAGGACAGTTTGCTTTCTCCATAACTGAATTTTGTTAGAATGGGTGTGCTCCTTTTGCTTACAGTCAAAACATATGCCTTGTAGGAAGACGGATTAAAAACCTCATTTTAAAGAGTGATTTTAAATATTGTATTTTGTAGAGGCAGTTTTAATCAATGTTTCCCCAATAGCATGGGACTATATGGGCACTAGATGAGAGTAGAGCTCTTCGGTTCCTGTAAATTACAGCCAAGTCTAACAGAAAAGTCAGGGCTGAAAATGGTGTATATGTGTATGCATGTGTATGTGTATATTCTTATGTATAAAAAAATAAAAGGGGGAGAGGGGGCGCAAAGGAAGCATTTTCCTGTATGGGTAGGAATCAAACTATGTTAATGTCCATACAGTTTTTCCTTTGGATAATTCTGTAGGTAAGGTGCTGAAGGCTGGTAAAATCTACTGAAGTATTATAAGCCAGTGTGGTTTTTCTTGGTATATCCCTCAGTTTATGGACAGTAAGATTAGGAAGAAGCATAAATATAAATTTTCTGCATACTGAATTTTTTACAGATCAAAATTACATTCCAGATTTAAAAAAAAAAAAAAAAAAACAACAAACTACAAAGAAATAGTGATATGCAGCTACTTAAATAGGTTTTTTTAACTGTGACATTTCTGGACCTCTGTAGTGAATAGAAGATACAGAAACACAAATCATTGGATCCATTAATTTGCCTGGATGTCGTATGCTTTGGTGTTTATGTCTTCATTTTGCCTCTTTAGTTGTTGAGGCAAAGAATGTTTTTTGTTTTAACAACTGGAAAATTATTTAACTATAGCCAACAACTTCGAAGAAATGTTTGCCAAATTTCGTATTTGTTACCCTAGTTGCAGTAAAGTTGAAAACTCAGAAAAAAAAGGCTCTCAGATTCTGGAAGGTTCTAAAGCAAAAGCAGACAAGGCAAATGCAAGTCCTGAGGTGTTTCTGAGTGGAACACCCCCCCCCACCACCCCAGCACTTCCTAAACTATAACTTCTTAAGAAAAAAGATGCCCTCCCAAGAAAAATGGGACCTTTTTTATCATGTGATAATGACTGGCTTCTTGGTTTTGTCTTGCATGTTCCCTGAAAAGTGTAAACATTTTCTGTTGTCAAAATCAGGTCCAAGCCACCCAAGAGAGATGAAAAGGAGCGGAAGAGGCGGAGCCCGTCACCCAGACCTACAAAAGTGCATGTTGGAAGGCTCACTAGAAACGTGACCAAGGTAATGGCATGCTTCCCTGCGATATCAACCTTTCATATCTTCTGTGAGGACCTGTGAGTGGCTCTTTCAAAGCTCTCAAAAGTTTTTTGTTGCTAGAGCACTGCCAAGGTATTGCTGTTGGAAATTCTTGCTTTGTGTCCAAATTGATCAGTGAGGAAAATTTCAGTAGGATTTTACTGAGTCAAATACAGTGCAGGCTTTTGAGACTGTGTAGTGCTTAAGAGGTCTGTCTGCTTTGTCAGTATTCCAGACCTTGTATCCGGACTTACTAGGAAGAAAACTGTAGAAGTTGGGACAGTAGCTGAAATTACCTTGGAGGCATTAAGGATATCTGGAGGTTCTTGATAAAGGATCTGAAGAGAGCTGGGCTGGCTTGAGTTGTCTTTGCTAGAATGTAGTTTAAAGGTCTTCAGAGGTAAAAGGTTTGGGGTGCTGCAAAAAGGATGTTTTTTGAAAAATATTACACAATTGCACCTTAAGAGTTTTCAGCTGAGGGCATAAGTTCCCTTTTCAGGTCCTCAAGAGGATTTTTACACTAGTGTTTTTGTAGCCATTGTTGACATGCAGCAGTAATGCTGCATGAACGTAAGGTTTGGACAATCTGAGGAAGAACTGAATAGACAACGGTAGAGAAAGCAGTGGTAATCCTTTCCACATCTGGCCAATGAAATATGTCTCTTCCTGATGGTGGCATTGATTTAAAGCTAATCTAGTGCTGTGGATTTACTGCTCTGCACCAGCCAGACCTGGTCAGTAAGTGTGGTCTATGTCCTTAAGACTTGTTTTTTCTCTGCAGGATCACATCATGGAAATTTTTTCCACTTACGGAAAGATTAAAATGATTGACATGCCAGTTGACAGGCTAAATCCACACCTCTCTAAAGGCTATGCTTATGTGGAGTTTGAGAACCCAGATGATGCTGAGAAAGCCCTGAAACACATGGATGGAGGTAGGTATCAAATGCTGCAGGGAGGCTGGGTGCTTTTAAAAATCTTTGGAGCAGATGAGTTTGATCTGAAAATGAGTTAGAGGTAGGGAAGCCTTCGGGGAACCGATCTGAAATACTGTCTGTTTTCAGCCCAAATGTCTTTGGCTTTTGTGTGGTTCAGGACAGATCCGAAACATCGCGGAACTATTAAAACTGATTTTTTTCAAAACAAACAGTAATAAAATTCTTTAAGTTTCTGTGAAAATCTTTCCCAGTTAACATCTGAACTGCAATTTGATGGGATATTAGATTAAGAAGTCCAGTATGTATGTGGACTTTGTCAAAATAACCCCTGAGCGGGTGGTGGAAATAGGACTGACTGTAGGCTGATTCACGCTTCAGTTGCTTGTGACAAAGCTGTGAGTTGCAGTAATGTGATGCGTAGACGTTAGTGTTGGAAAATACTTACTTACTTGTTTCTGTGCTTCCCTAAAAAGGCCAGATTGATGGTCAGGAGATCACTGCCACAGCTGTGCTGGCACCACGACCTAGGCCGCCTCCCAGACGCTTTAGCCCACCCAGGAGGATGCTGCCGCCACCACCGATGTGGCGCAGGTCACCCCCTCGCATGAGGAGACGGTGAGAGCTGTGACAACTTGTATTTCCTTCTCAGTGTAACAATATGTTATCGCTGAAAGACTCGGCCTGGGGACAACTTCATCCTGTTGGACTTGACTTTCCCCCCCAAATGACAGTAACACCTTTTGGGCATCAGTTGAACCTGGATTGTACTTCCTAACTCCGTAGCGCCAGGGTGACCTGCTCTGGTCTACACCCTGAATGCAGTCTGTCAGAAATGTCAGACGCTTTCCAGCCTGTTCCCTGGAGTCCCTTCTGCATAAATGCTTTGAGGTGAAGCGGGAATGGACTTCTGGCTGGCAAAATGCTTTTGGCAGCCTGCTCCAGCCACTTGCTTTTCTGAAGCCCTTGCACTTCCCTCCCTTATTTATATGAATGGGCACATGACCAAAAAGCAGTCCTTCCGCATCAGGTGAGCGGAGTACGCTGACCCCAAGATGTGACCTGACATGCACACGCCCGTTGTGCGACTTGGGGCTGCCTGAACGTGCTCAGATAATAAGTCTTTCAGAGTCTTCTCAACATTTAGATGGGCTCCTCTGTCCTGGAAATCTGCTTAAACTCTTGTCACTAGTAAAAGCGGCTCCTGTTTGAGCCACTTGACTGCTGAATAGCTTACGAACTACAGGATTAAAAATGAGAACTAGTTAACGTGGCACAAGATCCACTGCCTGTGGATCCTCCTTTAAACATGCCTCTTGCTGAGTTCTGCCAAATGCTAGATTGGGCGTTCCCTCCTCATTGTTTGTTTTCTTCCCTAGTCTAACTTTTATTATCCTGTTCAGGCTCTGTTAATATTCTGTGCCTAGAACCTTGGTGTCATACTGGTGGCCATACAGATTGATTGTAGTACTGAAGAGCTTGAAGCTTAGATATTTCTTTAGAGTTATAAGATATTTCTTTAGAGTTTCTTCTAAGAAATGTCCCTGTGGTTTGAAAGGGCTTATATAAATCCTTCCCCTGAATATCACTGTATTTCAGGAGTCAAAGCTGACTTTGCAGGTGAAGGAGAATCTGATGTAGAATGAACTTGAGCTTGTTTTGCTTGAGGAAGAAGACAAGATTCTTGTCTGTTCTTTGGATATTACACATTCTTTCAACTTCCTGAAGCAGAGGGAGGGTTGCCAGAATATTCCTATGAATTGCGTTTTTCCTCCCTGGAGCTGGCTGTATTTCGCTGGAGCTCTTTTACCGTGGTGTGTGAGGGTTTTTTGGAGGGGGGCAGGCAAGTGTTTTTGAAAAGTTGGTAGATGAGCTGACAGATTACTGGAACCTGTTGCTCTTGTCTCCTGATGAAAGCTTTCTCCTCCTTGTCTGTCAGGTCCCGGTCTCCTAGGCGCAGATCCCCTGTCCGCCGGCGATCAAGATCCAGATCTCCTGGACGAAGGCGCCATCGCAGCCGCTCCAGCTCAAACTCCTCACGATAAAGCAAAAAGACTGGACAGCTTTTTATTTTTTAACTTAAATCCCATCAGACTAAATATTGTACCTTTTTTTTATAATGGGTCTGGGTGAGGAGGAGTGAGAGAGAGAGAATCCTAGCAGTGAAGGCAACCTAAGAGGAGAGAGCAACAGTTCCCGGCCAGTAGATAGCCTTTGCTGTGGGCCTTCTAGTTTCCTGGCATTGAATTGAAATTATTTAAAAATGGCTTTGATTTTAAAGGCTGCAAAAACATCTTTTCCAGATAAACGAAAGGAAAGATGTTACAGCCTCTCTTTCTCCAATTAGCAGGCTGCTGCTTGGTGATTTCTAAACGCTTAGCACGCTGTACAGACAAGCATGTAAATCTTGAGCTATTTCAGAAACCCTGTATAGTAAGACAGGGAGGCATTTAAAACTTGACCTCTAGGTGCCAGCACAGGATTTTTCAGAGCAGCTGGAGTCCAGATCTGCCCGAGACTTAAATACCGAGTTGTCGCTTTATTCCAATTCCCAAACAGATCATTAGTTTCTGCAGAGTAGGCTCTTTCTGCAGATTAAGCTCTTCTGTAACGCATACACCAGGCGGTCACTGAAACAACGATCCAGCCCTCTGAACATGATACTTTAGAAAAGAAGCTGGAAATCTTAAGAACTGGTTTGTAGCTGCCCCCGTAAGTGATTTCTTTCACCTCTTCTTAAAGGGTTTTGGTAAAAACTTCCTACACAGCCCCCCAGTGAAAAGGTGTGAGTGCTTCTGCTTTCGCAAATCACAGATGAGCGACTGAGCGTCAAAACCCCCTGGAAACTGCAAGGCAGAGAGGGAGGCCCGAGGCCGCCATGCTGTCTGGATGAACTGGGGTTCACATAGGGAAAGGCAAAGAATTTACCACCTGTTGTACAGTCAATACTATAAAGATTTTTTTTGTTCTGTTTTGTATCACTTTGTAGCCTTTTGGGCCATGTTGTGTTTGTACTTGTGTAGGAGGAGCGACTATTGAATAAAGCAGTAGGGTTGAGAATAGCCGGCTGCCTCGCTCCCTTCCCAGCCCCTTGCCCTGCGCTGGGGGGTTTGCGGTAAAACCCGCGCTGCCCCTCCGGTGCGGCGGCGGCGGAGCGGAGCCGCCCGAGGGGCTCTGC